AAAAAAAAAAAAAAAGAATCTGGGAGCGCCTGGATGGCTCAGCCGGTTGAGCATCGGACTTCATGTCACGATCTTGGGGTTCCTGAGATCCAGCCCGGTATCTAGCTCTGTGCTGACAGCTCAGAGCCTGGAGCCTGCTTCGGATTCTGTGTCTCCCTTTCTCTCTCTCTCTCAAAATAAATAAACGTTTTAAAAAATTAAAACAAAAAAGAATCTGGAACTCAATAAATGGTAATTACAGTAACATGCTCGTTAACTCAAAAAAGTTCAAGAATCCCTCATTACTGCAGATGTATAAAGGTTAATAATCCTCAGTCTTTACCCTCGCCTTATAAGAGAAAACAAAGGGAAACACGAAGAAATACTTCAGAACCATCTTTGCAAGAATCGAAATTCACAGTCTTCGTTACACTACCGAAACCTTAACTTTTGGACAATCCGCAGGCTTCCTCAAGAACAATTACGCCCCCTAAGCCCTGCCTCCCTCAACTCCGCGCCTAAGGTGCCTACTTCTGCGCCTGCGCCGTGACCTAAATTTGGCGCATGCGCCGGATGGGACTGCTGGATTAAAAACCATGGCGTGGATACCAGCAGAGTCTGCAGTAGAAGAGTTGATGCCCCGGCTGTTGCCAGTGGAGCCCTGCGACTTGACAGAAAGTTTTGATCCCTCCGTACCCCCGAGCACGCCTCAGGAATACTTGAGGCGGGTCCAGTGAGTGATCTGACCCTTGAGGGTGGGCTGGTCGTCCTCTCTGCCCCCTAAATGTGATAAAGCGCTCTGCCCCCGCCTCTGTGGCCGTCCCCAATCTCTCGCGAGGTAGGGTCGAATCAGGATCACTTGATTATATCTTTATATGGGCGAGTTTTACCTGTGTCAAGTTTGGTGCTCTTAAATCCCTTGCTTTCAGTCCAGTTAATTTCAGAAATATATTGTTTAGTACTTTAATTGCAATTCTGAACTTTGTTTTCTAATTTCGTTAAGAACTGTAGAAATGGATCGCTTGTTTTTTTTTGTTTTTTTTTTTTTATGGATCGCTTGTTTTACTACACATGAACAAAGCACAGCCGTAATCACATTTCTTGGATTTATTACTTGTTTGTAGGATTGAAGCAGCTCAATGCCCAGATGTTGTGGTAGCTCAAATTGACCCAAAGAAGTTGAAAAGGAAGCAAAGTGTGAATGTTTCTGTAAGTTATATTACCCAGCGGGGGATTCTTCCTCCCCGCCCCCGCCCCGCCGGAATTGAAAGATCAATGCTATGGTATCCCACAGTATCTCTGATGGTATATGTAAGATTTGACTACTCCCTGTGACTTTAGACATTAACTTGTACTTTTTCCCCAAAAGGACAGTTGGCATTTACTGCTTCCAGAGAGGTTTTCAGTAACCCTGGCATTCATGAAGACTTTCTGATCATATTTTAAGGAGGTGATCCAATCCTAAAGGACTCTTTAAATAGGTTACTTACACTATCCTTTATTTTTAGGGAACCTTTTCCCAGTTGTCTTCATAATTATTCTTGGACTGGTGTTTAATCTTATTTAGTATAGTTTGCATGTTTTGAATTTGACTGGGTTTTGTTTTTTAAAAATAGAAACTCAAATTTCTTACATTTTTCTAACTACTTGAACACCTTGCACATGTTTTTCATTTATATTATCCAGAGTATTTTTTTAAGTGTTTATTTATTTATTTTGAGAGAGAGAGAGAAAGCAGGGGAGGTGCAGAGAGAGAGGAAGACAGAGAATCCCAAGCACGCCTGATATGGGGCTTGAACTCATGAACTGCAAGATCATGACCTGAGCTGAAATCAAGAGTCAGACGCTTAACTGACTGAGCCATCCAGGCACCACATATCCGGCATATTTTTTAATTAAGCAACTAGGTTGTGCCACTCACTGGGAATACAACAGAGAATAAGACAGAAAAATCCCTACCCTAGCAGAGTTTACATTCTCTTGAGGAAGACAGAGAGCAAACAAGCAAAGTAATAATTATATATTGTGACTATTGCTATGAAGAAAATTAAATGTATAATGACCAATAAGTAACAAGATAAAGTAGTCACAGAAGATCTCTTTGGGAACTTACTATTTAACCTAAGGTCAAAGGAAAGCAGCAGTTTGTAAATTGTGTTAAGTCCTTTTCCTTTTATGTTCTAAGTAATTTCTTTATCTGATGTTTATAATCAGGAAATTTTAACTTAGATACTGTAATGTTTCATATCATTCCTATTTATAAGTTTTTAGTTGATGGAAGAGAAGGTCTTATATACTTAGCTTTTAAAAAGTGGCCGTACTGTTTTATTTCAAGGCGGTATGTGATTAATTTTGAACTGTAGTGCTGTCTTAGGAAGCTGAAGTAGCCCTTGTAAAGTCAAGTGTCTTAAATTATTTAAGAACATTCTACCCATACCAAAATCCTTTATTTGTGATGTATCTATTTGTTTCCAAAGTTTTGTTATTTTTTTTAATGTTTTTTTTTTTTTTTAATGTTTATTTATTTTGAGAGAGAGACAGAGGGAGAGCAGGGGAAGGGCAGAGAGAGAGAGAGGGAGACAAAAAAATCAGAATCCGGCTCCAGGCTCTGAGCTATCGGCACAGAGCTTGATATGGGGCTCGAACCCACAAACCGTAAGATCACGACCTAAGCTAAAGTCAGACACTTAACCAACTGAGCCACCCAGGCGCCCCAAACAGTTTTGTTATTATAGAAAGATAGGACTAGATTATATCTTCAGGACTCATATAATATTTCTTAGTTTAGAAACTTCAACTATGAACCATTCCAGATTGCTCTTATTGAAGTGAGTATGCAAGGATCATTTCCTAATGTTTAATGTGTGTTTGAGAGAGAGAGAGAGAGAGTGAGTGCGTGCGCTCAAGTTGGGGAGGGGCAGAAAGAAAGGGAGACACAGAATCCAAACCAGGCTCCAGGCTCAAACTCAGGAACCATGAGATCATAGCCTGAACCACCCAGGCTCCCCGTTTACTAATGTTTAAATTTGAACATAAATAGTAAAGTGAAAGGCCTATGTTTTGCATGTGCAAAAAGTATAGTATTTTTCTTATATGGTCTTCATCATCTACTTTATTACTCTTCATCTTGATTCTGCTTTTACTTTATAGAGGCATGAGATTCTACTTATACCACTGACATTTGCTGTAATATTTATGAATTGATCTCTAGCTTTCAGGATGCCAGCCTGCTCCTGAAGGATATTCTCCCACTCTTCAGTGGCAACAACAACAAGTGGCACAGTTTTCATCTGTTCGACAGGTAAGTGTACTTTATTTAAACCAAATTAAACCTCTCTCCCGTCCCTCCCTTCCTCCATCAAGATTTATTTCTGTTCTTAGGCCATAGTTGTAAAAATAAGATTCATTATTCTGAAGGATGAAGTTAAAATATTTATGAATCAATTACCAAATAATAATTATTAGAGATAATACAGTTTGAAACATGTTTTCCAAATTTCAGGATTGTTAGAATGTTGCACAGCTGATTTCTTTTTAGTTATCCATTCACTGGAGATCACTTGTCTAACTTCTCTTCCTTCAGAGTGTGATCAGACATAGAAGTCACTGGAAATCACAACAGTTGGACAGTAATGTGACCATGGTATGTAAGTTTAAGTTGTACAATGTGTACCTATTTGAGATGGTTCCTATTTATTGCCAGTCTTTAAAGATTCACCTACTTAACCTATATTATTTTTGTTCCTTTTCACTGACCATTAATAGAAACAATTCCATTATATTGGTGGTCTTAAAAATATAGAATCAGTAATGCAAGTTGTTATTTTATGACAGTTTTAATCCATAGCATCTTGAGAGGCTTTGGATAGGTATTGTTAGGCCTCTACAAATTTTAAGAGTTCTTCTAGACATTGCTTTTTTAGAAAATAAATATATTTTTTAAAGAAAGAAAATAAATATATTTTCAGTATTTACAAAAAGATTCAATGAGGTAATGGTGCCATACCACAGACATTTTGCTAAAGCCCGTCATGCATACTAGAAAGTAGTATTTTCTGTGCTTTATCAACTTAGATATAATTTTAAACTCTTCGGGAGTAGTCTCTGGACTACTGAATAAAAAGGGGAGTTGGGGAAGAGATGGATACATTGTTCCAGGACAATATTTTTAATGTTTTAGGGAGTCTCATGTTCTTCCTGAGAATCAAACGCAAGTTATTTATCTTCAAAGGAGAAAATTGTGTGCCCCAGCACACAGTTTTGCTCACAGTTTCAGGTAGCTGGTAGATTCCAGGTTTTAGAAGCTTCCTATAGGCAGTGCTTCCTAATGTCTTTTACATGGTGACACATTGGGATAAACGGAGGAGGCTGCTTGCATAGCCTTGGACTACCAGCTGAAAGCTGAGAGATTCACTATATAGACTCTACTTTCTTCTCCATACCAATTGAAAGCTCTGCTCTAGGAAAAGTGTGAAATGAACTAATGTTACTTGCCCACAGTCATTTAACTCATAAAAGGGATAGCTGAAATTCAAATTGAAGTTTGTTTGGCTATAAAGCCTTTTGCTGTGTTGTGAGGCCTCCTGGTAAAAAGGGGGTAGGGGAGGAAGGGTAGATGTGTAGATTTTTTTTTTTTTTCTTGCTCAGCATCAGGACTTTAGGGTACATGCTTACTAATTTAAAAAGAAGCTGCATCAGTAACATTATGACAACGTAATTTTGTCAAAAATGTAAATGACCTAACATAATTGATTGAATAAATTCTGGTCCATCAAAACAGTGGAATATTAATAGCAATAACATGTTCATCATGGCAAAAGTAATCGTTACGTAAATAATGAAATGAAAAATGTCTAAAGCATTCTGACATTTAAAGCAACTATGTAAATATAAACATTTATTGATCTATTCAATCATTTATTATAAAGTACCTGCTGTAGTTAATAATCTGGGAATTATTCAGTGTTACCTGAAGCAGAAATAGTCTCTGACCTAATGGAGTAATGGAAAGGGCAAATACATTGTTTTAGTACAATAGACTTTTTCGGGGTCTCATATCTGTCCTGAGAATCTAATGAAAGCTATTTATCCTCAGGGGGAAAAACTGTACCTATGCAAAGTAATGTGCAAGTTGATATGTACAAATAAAAATTGTTTCTTAATGTGGTTACATTGAGCTGAATGCCTCTCCCCACTGGTCCTACATTTGATGGTGTAGTATAAACCTATTCTTTCTTTGACTGAACTGCCCTTCCAGGTATGCGAAGTACGTCATCCTGTCTCTTTCCCTGGTATAAACATCCTTTGTTCTTATAAACATTCTTAGTGTGTTTTTTTTCCATACCAGTTTCCATCTTTATCACCCTTTTCTGAGCCTACTCTTGTTAGTGTCCATTAAAGTGTGATCCAAACTAGACATGTCCCACGTAATGTGTAACGCTTGGGCACTGTATTAGTTTGCTAGAGCTGCCATAACAAAATACTACAGATTGGGTGTTTTAACAAACAGTAATTTATTTTCTCACAGCTCTATAGACTGTGAAGTCTCAGATCAAGGTGTTAGTAGGTTTGACTCCTCTTGAGGCCTCTCTGGCTTGCAGATGGCCGTCTTCTCGCTGTGTCCTCACATGGTCTTTCCTATGTGCACAAGCATCTCTAGTGCCTCTTGGTATGTCTGAATTTCCTCTTATAAGGACAGTAGTCAGATTGGATGAAAGCCCACCCTAAAAACCTGATTTTAATATAATCCATTATAAAGGTCCTGTCTCCAGATACAGTCACAGTCTAAGATACTGGAAGTTAGGGCTTCAACATACGAATTTTGGTGAGACAAAATTCAGCCCATAACAGGTACCATATCTTTGTGTTGAAGTTGTGGGAATACAGAGGACCTCACTTCTTTTTTTACTATTCAGTAAAAGAAAAATACATAGAAATAAGTAAATTCCTTTTTTTTTTTTTTTCTTTTTCTTTTAGCCAAAGTCTGAAGATGAAGAAGGCTGGAAAAAATTTTGTCTGGGTGAAAGGTTATGTGCTGAAGGGGCTGTAGGACCAGCTACAAGTGAAGGTCCTGGAATCGATTATGTACAAGTAGGTGATATGTGGATAAACAAAACAAAAGTGTTCTAATTTTGGTGTGTAATTTAACATAAAGACTTCACAAACTACAGCCTAGGCCGAATCTAGTCTGCAGCCCGTTTTCGTGCAGCCAATGAGCTACGACTGTTTTTTATAATACTAAGCGACTGAGACCGTGTGTGGCCTGCAAAGCCTAAAATACTTACTGTTTGCCTCTTTACAGAAAATGTTTGCCAACCTATGACTTAGTTAAGTGGCTCTTTAACTTAAAAATGTGCAGCCCAGTTTTTGAAACAGTGTACTGTGACCTTTCTTAGGTGGGCTTCTTATCTCTTAGGTTTTAGCTATGTGATAATTTTGTGAGTTAGATAAAATTCAGGGTTTTTGTTTTTTCTTTTTAATGTTTATTTTTATTTTTGAGAGAGAACCACGCACACGTGCACATGCGTGCAAGCAATGGAGGGGCAAAGAGAGGAGACAGAGGATCTAAAGTGGGCTGTGTGCTTTCAGTGCAAGGCCCAATGCGGGGCTGAAACTCAGAACTGTGAGATCACGACCTGAGTGGAAGTCGGATGCTTGAGCTGCTCAGGTGCCCCCAGGGCTTTTTTTTAGCCTGGGTTATGAGTTTTGAGTCATCAGGGAAACAAAGGAAAACATGACACAGATGCTTAAAAATGCTTAGTAGATTTCAGGGGCACCTGAGAGGCTTGACTGGTTAAGCATCCAACTCTTGACTCTTGGTTGTGGCTCAGGTCATGATCTCACGGTTCCTGAGTTTGAGTCCTGCGTCAGGCTCTGCCCTGACAGTGGGAAGACTGCTTGGGATTCTCTCTCTCCCCCTTTCTCTCTATTCTTCCCCCACTTGCATGTGTGCACTCTTTTTTTCCTCTCTCAAAATAAATAAATAAACCTAAAAAAAATACTTAGTAGATTTCATATTCTGGAGATGAAGTGTTAACAACACTTCACAAAACAACAAAAACTAATTGGTCCAAAAAATGTAAAATCTCCAAAAATCATGAAAAGATCAAGAACCCAATTAAAACAGAAAAGGCTAAGGATATAAGTAGCTCACAGAAAGAAAAATATGAATTTCTGTTACATGAGAAGATGCCCGCATTCACTTGTAATAGAAATATAAGTCCACTGAGCTGCTATTTTCCAGCTAACGTTGACAAAGGAAATTTGATAATCTGTGTCAACAAGGGTTGGGAAAATAGGCACTCTTACACATGGTGGTAGGGGTATAAGTAAATTCAGATCTATAAGCTAGCTATCTTGACACTGTTTCTTACACAATCTGTTGTTCTTCTGGGTAATATCCATAATGTATGTTACATTTCAAAATGTATTTTAATTTGACAATTAAAACTTATTAAAATTTATTGTATTTATTTTACTTATATATACAAATAAAATACATCATGTGAAAGAACCATTTAACGACGCAGAGTTAATGCATATCCTCTTAACTTTCTCAGAAATCAGTGCTGTTTTCATAATGAGGGATCCCAGCATTAAACTTCAGCGTACTTTTTTAACTGAATCAGATTAGGTTTGAAAAAAAATCACTCTAAGTCAAGTACCTTTAATTCCTAAAATGTTAGCTTTAGCTGAAGATTTTGAAAAAGTGTATACAACATGTTATTGTCATAGTATCAATTTTTTCATATTATCATTTTAAGAAATTTCATACTTTAACATTTTAATTACTAAAATCATTATCTTTAAATTTATGTAGTCAAATTGAAAAACATTTTTCAATACCTCCTTTATAATACCATTTAGTAAATTTCAGTCTCATTTTTCTTTCAGATTGGTTTTCCTCCCTTGCTTAGTATTGTTAGCAGAATGAATCAGGTAAAATCCATAATAAGGATGTATTTATTCTTTTATTTCCAATGTGTATGAAAGTATTATGAATACATTTATTGAACACTTACAATATGTAAGATCCTGTCCTAAACTCTTTAACAGTTCTTATTTAATCACCAATATAACCCTTTATGGGGAGTTATTATTAATATCCAACTTTTATGGATTAGGAAACAGAATTGGAGATGGTTATTCAGCAAAATTTAATGGCAACACTGGGATTCAATCCCAGTTTGACCTAATTCCAGAGCTCATGCTAAATCATTTTGCTAAACTATTCAATTGTGTACATTTCAGTTATAAGTCTTAGATTTTGGGATTTGAAGTAAAATGAAGGTGAAATTGCTATGAAATACACAGGGGCACCTGGGTGGCTCAGTTGATTAAGCCTCTGACTTCGGCTCATGTCATGATCTAGCAGTTAGTGAGTTCAAGCCCAACATTGGGCTCTGTGTTGACAGCTTAGAGCCTGGAGTCTGCCTCAGATTCTGTTTCCTTCTTTCTGCCCCTCCCCTGCTTAAGGTCTGTCTCTCTTTACCTCTCAAAATTAAGCATTAAAAAAAAATTAAAAAGAAAAAGAATAAAATAATTTCTTAGACAAAAGGGGAGAAAAATGGACTTTGGTTCTTCAGTCTTTTAGGATGAGGAATTCTATTACCTACTTAAAGAGCAAGTAAAAATTTTGATTGTTTTGCCTTCACATAGCACTAGGTGCCCTTGGAAGATAAATTTTTTTAAGGGTCATACGCTGTTGTAAATCATATACTGGCTAACAGTTTCACTTACTTGATCATTTGCATTAAATGCTGTAGTAGTCATTCTCAGTGTCCAACTATACTTGAATAAGCGAGAGAATATTTTCAACAGTTTAATAAATTCTGTCTATATAGCTTTAAAACAGATCTTTCTGGGGCGCCTGGGTGGCGCAGACGGTTAAGCGTCCGACTTCAGCCAGGTCACGATCTCGCGGTCCGTGAGTTCGAGCCCCGCGTCAGGCTCTGGGCTGATGGCTCAGAGCCTGGAGCCTGTTTCCGATTCTGTGTCTCCCTCTCTCTCTGCCCCTTCCCCGTTCATGCTCTGTCTCTCTCTGTCCCAAAAATAAATAAACGTTGAAAAAAAAAATTAAAAAAAAAATAAAACAGATTTTTCTCCACAGTAACTTTTTTTTTATATTTTCACTTTGACTTAATGAAAATAACTTGAAGGTATTTATGCAAAGATTTTTTTTAAGAGCACATGGAATTTTTCGAGTATTTGTAAACTAAATTAGTAGTTACAAACTAAATCCTAGGATTTAAACCAAGATATTGATACTTGAAAGTATATAAGAATATTTGTCTAAAAAGTCTTCTCACTGAGTGAGCCACCTAACCAATTACTAACTACAGTCATAATTTTCTCTGGAAGTCTAAAGAATGGGACCATTTTAAATATCAGAGTTGTTTTCTAACTAAACTTAATGAAACCCATGTTGAGCTTGTCTTTGTTTTATTACTAATTCATTTCTTCCACTTCCCCTTTCTCCTTTTTTTAGGCAACAGTAACTAGTGTCTTGGAATATCTGAGTAATTGGTTTGGAGAAAGAGACTTTACTCCAGAATTGGTAGTATTGCTTCTTTTTATTTTAATAATGCAGACAAAATTATACATACTTATTTCATATATGAGATATGACTAACATGTTTATGGATAGGTGTATGTATCATACCTGTGTATAATTATGTGTATGATGTAAACTATGTTTGTTTGCACTGAAATTAGTAATTTATGCTAGCATGCAAATCAACATGCTACTTCTTTTGTTGAAAAAGACTTGCCTTAGAAAAAGTCAACTAAAGAGTTGATTTATATCCTGAGAGAAGCAACATATCTCATGGCAGTGTAGTAACAAACAGTCACAAACTGGCATCCAGTCTGGAGGTCCCATTTTGACTGGCTTAACAAAGTTTGAAATACATTTTCTCAAATGGCTTTGAAATCCAATCCACAAAAGAATAGTAAATGCCAACAATAATACCAAGCACTATGTGCCAGGCATTACTCTAAGAACTTTGAATATAGTGACTCCTTGAGTCCTCCAGTAACCTATGAGCTGTTATTTGCATTTTACAGATAAGGAGACTGGAGCACATAAGGATTCAGTAACTTGCTTAAGATCACACATCTCATAACTGGCAGAACAGAGATTCACACCCCAGCAGTCTGGCTATACTCTTAACAACTACGCTTCAATGGCCCCTCTACTTTATAGTTTTATATTCACAGCTCATTTTTCACCTTCAAAAACGGGGTCAGTTTGATGGGCATTATATAAATGAATTATCTGCATTAATCCCCTAGTAAGAAATTTTATTGTCCTTTGAAGCTAGATTTGATTTTTAGAAACATGTATTTTTTTATAGTTAAAGATATTTGTAAAAGAGTGTACCTGAGGCTCCAAAGCTCCCTGTCAAAGCATAAGATATAATCTTTGCCCTCCAGAAGTTTAGAATCTGTCTGGGAGAAACAGATAAACCAACATTATATAGTGTACAAATTTCTAAGCTTGCCATTCAGCCAACTGGCTTAGATAAGGCTCTTACATAAGTATGATGGTGATATCCTTTATCACTAGATTTTCATTTTTTGTTTTTGTATTTTATTCTTTTAAGTCTCTGCTATGTTACATGTACTTTTCTTAAGGGGAAAACAATGTTTAAAATCACTGCTTCTAAAAAATAAATCAAAATAAGTCACTGTTGGGGCACCTGGGTGGCTCAGTTGGTTAAGCGTCCGACTTTCGCTCAGGTCATGATCTCACGGTTTATGAGTTTGAGCCCCAAATTGGGCTCTGTGCTGACAGCTCAGAGCCTGGAGCCTGCTTCCAATTCTGTGTCTCCCACTCTTTCTGCTCCTCCCCAACTCGGGCTTTGTCTTTCTCTCTCAAAAATAAATAAAAGCATTAAAAAAATGTTTTTAATTAAAAATAAACAAAAATTAAAAAAATAAATCACTGTTTCTGATTCAGTGCTCAAACATGTCTTTTACATAGTGTAATTAACGTACTATTCTGGAATTTTTAGCTCATATTACATATATATGTTTCCGTATGATAATATAATTCACATAATTTCCATTGTCTTAATGCCTTATAGTTTACTTTGATTCTCTCATTATGATCATTTGAGTTCTTTCTTATATTTTACAATCATGACTAAATTATAAACATTTATATTAATTTCATTTTAATTGTCAATTTCTTAGGATATTGCTAGAATATAATTATTGGGTCAAGGTTTTATAAGCATTTGTAACACTCTCCCAGATTGCTTTCCAAAAGGAATGAACTAGTTAAGAATGCCATCAGCAAAGGATTCTTATTTCTTTTCCCTGCAACTCTATTTTTCTGGAACCATAATGCAATTGCTATTTCTGTAGTTTAAAAACATTTGATTATCAGTAATTCAGTATGGTTCAATCTAACATTTTATAATTTCTGTTTTCAAATTGAGTGGATTTATAGTAGTATTTCAAATTAAAGACAATTTATATTTCTTTCAGTGTCAGTGAAACAATATTTTTCCCATGCATTAGTATATTAGCTATACCTTCAATAGAAAACTTTGTTCGTATTCGTGTTACTTGTTCATTGGCATCTGTGTATTGAACTCTAAATTCTGTATCAATTCTTTCTGTCTGATAGTGAACTTTTAGCAGTATTACATGACCTGTTTTCCTTCTCTTCCTTTAATCTTTATTTTTTTAACTCTGTGCTGTAAGATTTTTTTTTATTTTTATTTTTTAACTTCTAAAGATTACTCACTGAAGAGGGTGGTAAGTTTGGCTTTTCCTATTAATTAGTGAAAGCATATTACCAAAAAGTAACTGTATTTGCCAGAGGAACCATCGAAGTGTTTCTGAACCAATGACAACTGCTTTACTAACTTGTAACCTAGTTAATCCTTTGAGTCTAACTTTGAGTAACTGTCTCTTAAATCAAAGTGTTCAATTTCTGTATCCAAGTAACCATACCAACAGAACACTCCTATTGAGAATATCAGTGTTTAAAGTAAAAACCTAGATCATGAAGTTTGCTTATCATATACTAACAAAAGGAAAATGGAACTCTTTTTGAAAATTTCTGTACTTGGGATTACTTTAATATTTTTTTGAGAAATACAGCCTCATTTTTCATCCAAATATAAAAGTATTAAGGAAAATTTTTTGCTATTTTGTGGTGGGTTTTATGTTTTAGTATTGCCACAGTGTGCTCACTGTTTGCTGACCTTTGAAAAAAGGAACCTCTCAGTATAAATCTTAGACAATCAGAGGTTTAAGCACCATTTGAATACCTGAATGCCAGCTATATATAGTAAATGTGGTGCTGAACATGTGAGTCAAGTTTAAATGTACAATAGCTTTTTTGATATAGAAGAGAATTCCACTTACTATTTATTTAAAAAAACCTAGATGTGAATCTTTTGTTTAGGAAAAAGTTTTATTGATTTTGGGGTTGCTTGAGGAGCTAATTTACTTTTGTTGCATAAATTGCTATGTAACCGTTGTTCTAATATTCTTTAGGTTTCTCCAAAGTGATGTATTGCTCAGATTAAACTCTGTCATATACACTGCTGGTAGAAATATAATTGGATACATCTTTTATGGAGTAAAATTTAGTGGTTATATCTCAGAAACCTTTATGAACATACATACGCTTTGATACCACCATTTTATTTCTAGGAATTTAGCCCAAGAAATCAATGAGAAATGCTCTAAAATTTATTTTAAGGATATTTATCACACTATTTTTTATATAACAGCAACAAATTAAACCTCTTAAGTGCTCAATAATAGGAAATAGGCTAAGTAAGTTTTGGTGCATCCAAAATGGAACATTCATTTCACAAATATTTTAATTAAGCTCCTGTTGTGTTCCAACTCTAGACTGAGTCCTGGGGGTATAATATCTATCATTATAACCTCACAGAGTTTGGGGGAAAGAAAGAATAAACCAGCTATGATAGGAAAGTATGATAAGTACTTGGTTAAAGAGTATTTATATAAGTGCTATGTTGAGATTAATAACATTCCCTCGTTAATCCCATTTAACAATGTTGGGAGATATTTATTATGTATTGCAAGTAAAAGAGATGGTAACAAAATGTTATTACCCCACTATTAATGTTACAATAATGATAAAACTTTATCTTTTAAAAGTTGTATGTGTAAACAGGAAAAAGATGAACATTTTTTAAGTTTTAGCAAAAATTTTATCTGAATGGTGGGATTGCAGGTTTATTTGTTTGTGCTTTTTGTATTCTTCAGTTTTTCTGCATTAAGTATATATTCCTTTTGTAATTGAAAAAAACCTATTTTATTTTATTTTTAGTGGTCTGAAAAAACCATTTTAAAAGAGGATGGGGATAGATTTCATTTGCCATGGTACTTAATAGAAGTATAGAAGTATCAAAACATTATTTCATCTAGAGTATAGTTCCTTTGTATAGACACAGGGGACAGAGTTATAAAATTATAAAATTATTCATGTATCTGTCTATGGACGGAAGAGGAAAAAATGTATCTTAATTTTTGCATGGACTTACACACTTCTTAATGTAGTTTTCTGGTCATGAATTAGGACTTCATTTATAGTAAGAACCTCTGAAATGAACTCTTTAGGGCTAAGGGTATTTTGAAGTGTCTGATGTTCTGTGTTTCTAGTAAGAGGATACAAAAGAGATCAGCTGGCTGTCTAGATGATCCTTTGTTGTCTGTATCCAAACATAATACAGTTAAATGTTACATAAAGTTATCCATAGCAAATAACCAGACACAACATTGGACATTTTAAGTTAAACTTATAGTGTAGTATTTGCTACTTACTACCTTTTAAAATCCTGTTTAGGGAAGGTGGCTTTATGCTTTATTGGCTTGTCTTGAAAAACCTTTATTACCTGAGGCTCATTCACTGATTCGGCAGCTTGCAAGAAGGTGCTCTGAAGTAAGACTCTTAGTGGTAAGTTACAACTTACTATTTCAAATTGAAAGCACTCTTCAATTTATATGGTGATAAGAAGGATCCCATTGAAATAGGAAAATGTGGAATATTTTATTAGTGGAGGTTAGATTTAGGCACATAATAAAAATGGGCCTAAAATAACAGGTTAAACAAAATGGAACTGTTTTTTTCTCAGATAAAAGAAGTCTGGGGGTGCCTGGCTGGCTTAGTCTGAAGAGCATGTGACTTGATCTCGGGGTTATCATTCAAGCCCCACATTGAGTGTAGAGATGACTTAAATCAAGTTTAAAAGAAATAAATATTAAGGGGTTCCTGGGTAGCTCAATCAGTTAATTGTCTACCTCCTAGGCTTGATCTCATGGTCATGAGTTCAAGCCCCAAATTGGGCTCTGTGTGGAGCCTACTTAAAGAAAAAGAAAAATTTAAATAAGGGAAGTCTACAAGTGGATAGATCAGATCTAAGATGGCAGTAACCCAGGCCTTTCAGTTCTGCTTCGTGGCTTCCATCTTCAAGCTCACCTCATGATCCAGGACAGCTGCTGGAGCTTCAGCCACTATATTATTTGCTTTTGGGAAGCTAGAAAGAAGAAAAGGTATCCTCTAATAAAGTTTCCCAGAGGTTCCACAAGCACATCTGGCTGTATAGCTCATTTAGCCAAAATTTAGTCACATGGCCATAAAGAACTGTGGGAAATGTTTACTTTTAGCTGGTGGCAGTGTCCTCAGCTAAAACTGAGCTTCATTTGCTAAATAGTAAGGGGACACAAGCTGGAATGGTCAACTAACAGTCTCTGACAAAATGATTATTTTGAATTTCTCCAGTCAGATGCTTAACTAACTCATGCCTGCAGCATTATAAATAAATTTTATGCTGGATTAAGCCCATTTGTAATTTTTTCTTTCATCCCTTCTTTCCCTTCCACAAAATGTATACTTGTTCTCCACTGACTACTCCAAAATATTTTTATTAAACATCCATGCTATGGCCGAAACTAACTTATATGGCCTGTACTCCAAGCCAAATGTACTTGCTACTAATACTCAGTAAATATTTCCCATGTTTTGTTCCTAGAATTTATTTCCTCTACAGAAGTGCCTTTTCAGGCTTCTAGTTCTGCATCTAAATACCATTTACTTTTTACAATCTGGCTCATATTCTACTACTTTTTTTTAAGTTTTTATCGATTTATTTTGAGAGAGAGAGTGCAAGCCGGGGAGGTGCAGAGAGAAAGGGAGAATCCCAAGCAGGCTCTGCACTAATAGTGCAGGGCTAAAACTCATAAACCTTGAGATCATGACCTGAGCCGAAGTCATACACTTAACCAGCTGAGCTACCCAGGCCGCCTCATATTCCACTACTTTCTATGATACTTTCCCTGACCCTAACAATTAAGAAGAATCTCTGTATCCTCTATTTTCCCAGTATACTTTGTATCTTTTTTATGGGCACTTAGCACATTTTTCCTTTCATTAAAGTTAATACAGATATTTCATCTTCTGTGCTATTAGCAAGTAGTAGGTTTTATTTAGCTTTGTTCCATATAGCACTTGACACATAGAGTTGAGTACACTAACACCATGGAAGTTTGTCCTGAGTTTGAATTAACATGGGATATGTCTGTTACAACATTACTCAATAGGTTATTGTGACTATATCTTGAAATGTATAAAAATAAATATCAGGGGCGCCTGGCTGGCTCAGTTGGCAGGCCATGTGACCCTTGATTGTGGGGTCGTTAGTTCAAGCCCCTACGTTGGGTGTGGAGATTACTTTAACAAAATAAAATCTTGGGGTGCCTGGATGGTTCAGTCAGTTAAGTGTCTGACTCTTGATTTCTGCTCAGGTCATGATCTCACCATGGTTTCTGGATCGAACCCCACATGGGGCTCTGCACTGTCAACACAGGGCCTACTTGGGACTCTCTCCCTCTCTCTCCATGTTTTTTCCTGCTCGTGCACACACAAGCTCTCCAAAATAAACTTTAAAAAAGTAATTTTAAAAAAATCTTAAAATGAAGAATGAATGAATAAATAAATTTTATACTCTGTAAGACCACTTTATAAAACATACAGTTCAGCAACTACCTTCATTACAATTGAGAACCCTTACCTGAACTGGTTTCTGGTATGTCTGTTATTTTTTTTACATTTATTTATTTATTTTTGAGAGACTGAGACAGAACACAAGTGGGGGAGGGGCAGAGAGAGGGGGACACAGAATCTGAAGCAGGCTCCAGGCTCTGAGCTGTCAGTACAGAGCCCGACATGGGGCTTGAACTCACAAACCGTGAGATCACGACCTGAGCCAAAGTTGGATGCTCAACCAATG